CAGGAGTAAGTCACCTCCTCATGGAAGCATCAGGAGTAAGTCACCTCCTCATGGAAGCATCAGGAGTAAGTCACCACCTCTTTTGCTTGCCGAAAATGTTTCTGGAGTGAGTGACAGGAAGTCTGGGAGACTGGCTTCCTCCTGAAGACAAGCCACCGAGTGCAGAAAAGCCAACCAGCACAGGGACAGGCGATGAAGAGCAAAATGGCTGAGCGATATTTGAAGCATTGGAGCACTCCAGGGTTAACAAACGGATCTCAAGAGCAACCAGGGTTAACAGTCCTGGCAACACGGACTGGAATCCAGAAGAGTTCCTTCAGAAGGTGGAAAACTCATTTTGAAGAAATAACTTGAACTTAGGGAGGAAAGACTGGTGCATAAGCCCTAGTATGTTCATGAGAAGGAGGAAGAGCAGGAAACCAGAGAGGGCTAGGGTGTGAGTCACGCTGTGTAGGAAGGGCCCTGTGGCTTCTCTACCAGTTAAGATTTCAACTTGCTGAGGAGACAGAGATCGGGGTTTGAATATTCTTCCTCATTATGTGCACTGTGTGATAAAATCAGAACAAGAGATAGGCTGAAAGAGTATGCTAGCCAGACGAGTATATGGGGATCTTTGTTGGGCAAGCAACTAAACTACGGTGCCCTGGGACAGAAAAGCCAATGGCTTGTCTGGGCGTGAGGTTCGTTTCTCAGAAGTGGGCTGTGGAGTCTAGAAACTCCTGCGTGGGTGTTACCTCCGAGAGTGACTAAGTTCAGAGCACTTTCATCACACGGGTATGTTTGAGAAGCTGTCTAGGAGCCGAGGGTGGCAGGCACGTCACACGGAGGAGCTCAGGTCCCAGGTGAACTTTGTACACCCCTTCTGTTTTTCTGTTATGAAGATAAAAGATACATTCTCAAACGTTTATCTTCACTCCTACAGTGGAGGAACATTAATATGTTCACTGCAAGAGAGTGGCAAAAAAATAAAAACTCGACAAAGCAACAACAAAAATCCTCTAGTGAAATCCATATCGGGCACACGCTTTCTTTGACCACGCTGCATTATCCTAGATGTCACAATAGGTGTAAACCCTCTATCTCTCCTACGCAGTTTGTGTTGCGTGTAAGTGGCATAGTGTTCCCAAAAAGAAATGTGTTTTCAGCATTCAGATACATGTAAAGACAATCTTCAACCAGCCTGACTACTTAAAAACACTGAATTAACTTGGATGTGTGTGTGTTGAGGGGGGTACATGTGTCAGTGTGGACAGTCAGAGAGACAGCTTGTGGGAGCCCGTTCTCTCCTTCCATCACTTGGGTCTGGAAATCAAACTCACATTATTCAACTTGATGCC